AATTAGATTAAAGAACAAGTTTAAAATAACATTTACCATGTGGTGAGGATTTTAAGGGTGCAGAACTTGATCCGGATTGTGAGGTCATAGGGGGTGATTTCTTCAAGGAGATGGGAGATTTTGTGTAGACGGTTTCGCTTCCCACACCACCTGTGGTTTGACTTCGATTCATATGTACTCCAAAGCTCGCGGCCAGTGTTTCAGCGGCGACCATGAGCGGGAAGGCCCCAGGAGGGCCGGCAACACCGAAACTACCGCCTCTGCTATTGAGCAGTTGACTACCTGGTTTGTTTCCATCAGATGGTGCCTTCTGAGTGCCTTCTGAGGACTCCGACTAAAGGAGGAAGAGGAGGAGGAAGCGAGTGAAGGTATGGGCTGATGGTGCGGAGTTTTATGGAGTAAATTATCACTTGGCTAAAGCACTTTGCAGGCTATTTGCAGAGGCATAAAATGATTCATCCACTGGCTGAAATAAACCCTATTTCACTCCATCGGATATAGCCAAAAGTCTAAGGAAAGTTCGACCGGATAATTGCTAAATGCTATGAAACAAACTCCAACATGTTTTTCATTCTGAATCAAACGTGGAAGGTGAAATGAATTAGCTCGTCAAGTTTGACAAAAATAGTTGGTGTTGATTTCACTAATGAATTTTAGCATCTCGGGCAAAATTTAAGGCAATTAGCTTTAATTATTTTCACTGAACAATAATTTAAAAACATGGTTTTTACTTAATTTAAAATATTGTGGTAAAATAAAGTAAAGTAAATATTTAACAAAAATAGGTCAAATTAGATAAAAGATAAATAAAATTAATTTGCAATTAATTATAATTACCATATTATTAAAAGGATCTAATTTGAAATGTGTTTAAATAATATCATTCTTGAGAACTATTCTACTTTTACGTTGCAAAATTTTTCTGCCACTTCGAGGTTTTTACAAACAAATTTATTACCGTATTTTTAATTATTTCATTTGAATTCCTCCATGAAATGCAATAAATTTTTAACCTATCACTTCACGTAGGCAATAAAACACAACCTGTAAGACCTTGACCCTGTTTGCACTCTTAAGCCTAAAAAAGGTGATTCAAACCGCAAGGAAGAGGATAATTAAAAATTGGTGTTTTCTCACCTCACTAGCAAACCAACTCATTTGAATTGCGTAAATTAGCATCCACAAATCAAAGCAAAATTTGGCATCTTATGAAATTCCCCAGATAAAATATGTGTTTCCAGCTGGGGGTGGTGGTGGTTGGAAGGGGGCGCTAATATGATCCAACAGCTGTTACTTTCAACCCTCCGAATGTATCATAGTAAGGCCAAAATGCTAACAAGCCAACTATACGGTTGATGGCGTTGAAGATCGCAATTGTGTGTTTGGAGGCCAATGATTGGCTACCTCGCTAATTCCAATCACCAGGCAGTCAACGGCTGTCTTCTCCCCACCCCCTCCTCCCTCCCCTCCCCTCCCCCACCCCACTACAACTAATATTGACCGTGCCCATTTGCATAAAACGCTCCTCTAATACCATTTTAGCAAGCGCTACTCGAAGAGGTGGAGAGAAAATTCCCCAAAACAATCTAAATATGCCCCTAACTCGCTAACTCACACTCCTAGGATTAGCTCCTTCCAAAAAAATAGATGGACTTAATGTGCTTGAGAAACTAATTGACAGGCTCGGAAATTTCATTGAGGCATGCTCGATCATAAATATCATTGGTAAAACAAGCTGACTGATGCATTCAAGCATTCCATTTAACCAACAGATCAGTTTTCCACTGTCATCTCTAAAAACCCGGGAAAGAATGGATCTTTATAATCGATTTGTGGACTGCATTTTCATTAACCAAGAACACTTTAAACTTGAATTCAAAACCAAATTACTAGGAGGAACCAGTGAAATCTTGATAGAAACCGAAGAAAATATGATTTTTTGAACCCATCGACTTTTCATACATTAGGACATTTTAAAATTCCGACAAATTAAACTTCAAATTGATTGGCTCATTAGTTTGTTAAGTGGTTAACTATTCAACTTGTTTATGACTTTACGTGAATTTTGAAACTGTCCTATTGTAAATCTTATGCACTGTTTTGAACTTATCCATTCAAGCCTATTAATTAAAAGCAAAAAAGACAAATTTTAATGAAAATCTCAACTCTTTTAAATAGAAACTTGATAGGAATGTGAAATTTAATCTCCATACTTGATCACAATTGTACACAAAATGTTTGAGTGAAAGATGTCCGGTCGTTCCCACTCCAAATACCCTTTTAAATTCGAATGTATACGTATCAAATTCATTTGCTTATTAATCTACCATTAAAATATTTCAAGTCTAAAGTGGGGTTGTTGAAAGTTAGGATTCTTTCTCATTAATTTCTAATAATCAATCAAAAGTTTATTGAGAAAAATGTATGAAATAGTATTATATTCCCTGGGGTGTGCGATAGACTTACCTCCACGTGGTGCACCCTGACAAGGGGTGTGCGATAGACTTACCTCCACGTGGTGCACCCTGGTGGGTGTGCGATAGACTTACCTCCACGTGGTGCACCCTGGGAAACGTATACTCATACGGTAAAAAGTCTATTAACCGGAAGTTTGTGTGCGATAGACTTACCTCCACGTGGTGCACCCTGGGCAGCGTATTTTCTTACGGCAAAAAAGTCTATCACTCGGCTTTCGTTATATTCATACGGCAAAAAGTCTATTAACTGGCAGTTAACTACGATAGACTTACCTCCACGTGGTGCACCCTGGGCAACGTACTTTCTTACGGCAAAAATTCTATCACTCGGCATTCGTTTTTCAATAGACTTACCTCCACGTGGTGCACCCTGGGCAACGTATATTCATACGGCAAAGTCTATTAACTGGTAGTTGACTTCTCCGCATACGGCAAAAAAGTCTATTAACCGGCAGTTTTCTTCTCACTTCAAACTACCATGACCCCCCTATATGTCCTACATTCTCATACGGCAAAAAAGTCTATTAACCGGCATTTGACATGACTTCAAACTACAATCACCCCACTGTATGTCAAATTCGACTACTTGACTTCAAACTACCATCATCCCACTCTATGCCATATTCGCTCACCCCATTGTATGTTAAATTCGACCACTTCAACAGTACTCATCTTACCTTTTCTCTTCGACTTCTCACTTCAAACTACCATCACCCCACTGTATGTCAAATTCGACCCCTTCCACAGTACTCACCTCACCTTTGCTCTACTGTCGACTTCTTCCACAGTACTAACCTCACCTTTTTTCTACCTATTTCTCACTTCAAACTACCATCACCCCACTGTATGTCATATACCTCTGACTTCAAACTACCATCACCCCACTGTATGTCATATTTCACCACTTCCACAGTACTCACCTCGCCTTTTTTCTACCTTCAGTTGACTCTAGCTACCATGACCCACTGTATGGCATATTAGTCTACTTCCACAGTACTCACCTCACCTTTTTTCTACCTCTGAGTCTGTATACTTCCATAGTACTCACCTCACCTTTTTTCTACATTTGTATCTTCCACAGTACTCACCTCACCTTTTTCCTACCTTTTCTAAGCCTCCACAGTACTCATCTTACCTTTTTCTCTACCTTCGTGTAACACAGTACTCACCTCACCTTTGTTCTACCTTTGTGTCTGCCACAGTACTCATCTCATCTTTTTCCACTTTTGTGTCTCTCTCTTTTACATCTTTGAAACTCTCTTCTGTTCCCAATCTCTCTCTCGACTTGTTTCACTTTGATGTTTCTGCTCCTCTCTGTGAAGCCCGAAGTCAGCTAAAGGGCTAATGATAACTTTCACAACGCTTGGCATTTGATATAAATAAATATTATATTCCCAGAAGGGGTGTGCGATAGACTTATCTCCACGTGGTGCACTCTGGGCAACGTACAATCAATGAATTTTCTCTAAACCGGCAGTTGACTTCTCACTCCAAACTACCAGGGCCCAACTGTATATTGTATTCGACTAATTCCACCGTACTCATCTTACCTTATCCTCTCTACCTTTGTGTCTGTCTGCCTGTCTCTTTTACATCTGTGAATCACTCGTCTTCCCCCCCCCCTCTCGACTTTTTTTTCCACTTTGATGTTCCTCCTCCTCCCCTCTGTGAAGCCCGAAGTCAACTAAAGGGCTAATGATAACCATCAAAACGCCAGCCATTTTAAATAAATAAATAATTTGCCAAATGCCAAATATTTTTTCTTAGCAGCAGAACTATGGAGGGGTAGGGTGAGAATTATCCAAAATTCGCATATTGCACAAATTAAACCCCGTCCAGGGGGTCTTTCTCGTATCGTTTAATTATTAAGACAGTACACTTGAGACAGACCTCTCATATCACAAATCAATAATGCTCATACAAAAGGCCTTGTATTGGAGCGCTAAAGGGAGGAGTGGTGCACTAATCCACCCAATAGTGAAAAGCGTGGAGAGTGAAGCAAATATTTTGAAGGGGATAAAGTAACAGGAATTGGAGCACAATTTCTGACTTAACTTTCATGCACACCACTATTACTTCTTCACGAGATAGAGAGAGAGAGAGGGAGAGAGGGAGGGAGGGAGAGAGGAGAGAGATCCAAATTGAACAAAATAGGAACGGACAGAAGACAGCCCCCCCCCAAAGTTCTTTGCTGTCATTTGAATAAGTAATGTTTGAAGTTCATGCTAAGGTGAGGGAGCGACGCACTAGCACGCAATAACGGACAAACAAACGGCATTGAAAAACAAAAGGTAAGTTACAATGTAAGACAATAAGGCTGTTTTTCAAATAGTGGCTCTTTACATTTAAAAAAAAATATGTACAGAAAATAGGTAGTTATACCTATAAGGGCCTTGGATGAAATTGTATACGTATATTCCCAGTGCGTAGTTTATTGCGTAATTTAAGCATACTCAACCAGGCTAGAGAGTCGAGGAGGAGTCGTTCGTTCTGGTTACTGAACGAATTTTTTTTGTGTGTGTGTGTGAATGTGAAGTGGAAAATAACTGAGGTGTTGCTGGTAGTGTTCAGTTTCTACCGAGCTCTTGAAGTGAGGACACTAAATCATGCCATTTCAAGCAAAGGTACTACAAAGGGTAAAGGAGAAGTGAATGCACTCTCCAGACGCGTCCAACATCCACCTCTACGTTAAATGCCCAAAATAAATTGTTTGACACACACACCCCGCGTGAAAATGGAAGACTTCTGAAAGTACATTCACATTACAACTTTGTGCAGCATTTCAAGCAGAGTTCATCTCTCACGGGGATTGGCTAATTTATCAAATATTTTTTTTGATATATTACGACCATGCAAAATACCAACATGGCCAAATGTCAGAATATATATATATATAGTCATTGCTAACAACATTTGCTATAAAATCGTCATAACCGTGAAAATGCAAAAAGAAACGGGTCAGCTGTTTGCCTGTATTTGAAGGCAATTGCGGTTATCTGCCCGGAAGTCCTAACAAGTGCTGAATAATCTCGTCTAACTGAAATATTTACTGCAATAGGCGAACTAATTGCAAGGCAACGTACAGAAAAACCGAGGCGCTCACATTTGCCAGGATCAATTTTTCTGTTTGTGGGGTGTGAGGCAGACTTACCTCTACGTGGTGCACCCTGGACAACGTATACCCCTCATACGGCAAAGAGTCTATAAACAGGCACTGGACTTCCGATTTCAAACTACCATGACCCCACTGTATGTCGTATTCGACCCCTTTCAC